GAAAATCAAACCAGGCTGCTCATGATTTCTGTAGAGATATGACACTACAATAAGATCAGCAGAGCTGAAGCAGTCTTTCTCTGAATGCAAAACCAATAGCGACAACAAAAATCTGACTCGCTGAGTGCTGTCTCTAAACTCGTGACAATAAAGTGGGATATAAATTTTTTGAGAAATATTACCTGAAAACATTTGTTCTCGCTCTCTCTGTAATTACAGCTTCCACCACTTTCAGACAACTAGGTTAAAGGTTATCCTGGTTGGAAATTATGAGAGTTATACACAATTGAAGAGCACCAGATTGGGGAAAGCTGAACAAATGAGGAACAGAGGCAAAGGAAAGAATGGGTTCAGAGTTGATCTTCATGCATTATAGAAATAAGAGTGTCTATTAGTTTGTCATGTGTCACTATCATAATATATCATGGAAGGTGTTTGATCTGAGTGTGTATGTAATTTGTTTCAAGTTGCCTATTGACTTACAATGATTCAAATACATTCATAGGGCTTTCTTAGGCCAGGAATATACTGAAATTGTTCATAATTGTTTCCCCTCCTACAGAAGTGTAATTTAAAGTGGTGGCCCTTGGATTGGTGCTATTCTGGGAGCTATTGGCTGCTGGACTGTGGCAAGTGTCCAGAGGGGAAAAAGAAACAATTGTCAATGAATACAAATGTGAGTGGATCAATAGGTACCGCTTTGGTGGGATGGTACCAGCACTCCATGTAGTCTTGCCGGCTACATGACCTTGGAGGTGTCTACGGACAATGCTGGCTCTTCTGCTTATTTATTTATTTATTTATTTAAAACTTTTATATCCTGATCTTCTCAACCTCCGTAGAGGGACTCAGACCGTCTTACAGCAAGGATTCAATGGTAATAGTACAATCTAAAAACATCATATAATAACGAGTTAAAATACATATCAATTAAAATTACAAATAAAAGCCAAATCGCCAAGATAAAATCATGTCCAACTCAGTCCGCATGTGTGGTCGATAACTTTGTTCTGTAGCCGGTTTCAGCCATTACTCTGGGAATGCTTCCTTCCATAACCAGGCTTTCACCAGCCTCCTGAAGGACAGGAGGGAGGGGGCAAATCTGATCTCATTCGAGAGGGAGTTCCATAGCCGAGGGGCCACCACAGAAAAGGCCCTGTCACTCATTCCCGCCAGACATGATTGCGAAAGTGGTGGGACCGAGAGCAGGGCCCCTCCAGAAGATCTTAATTGTCTTGATGGTTCATAGCTTAGAAATTGAGATAAACACCACCCCTCCCCCAAGATCTGGACATGACTTAATGTCAAGGGAAAAACTTTAAACTTACTTTACAAATACAGTGCTGTTTCCTGGCACATTGGGAGAAATGGTCCCTTGCTTAGATAACTTAAAGAGCATTACTTCCAGCACCTGATATTTCTTGGTAGTCCTTCATTCAAGTACTAATGATACTGGAAACTGTTTAGTTTCCAAGAACAGAGAGGATCTGGTGCCTTCCAGGTATTTAGACTAAGTATGTTACAATGTGCAAAAATAATCAATCATTCTGAGATCTCAGGATATTGGCTATTTCATCATAACTTTGCTGTATTGGAACCAATGTTTGGCAATCATAATGTTGGAAGACACCATAAGGATCATGCCATGCAGGAACACACAAACCAACAGATGGTTATCCAGCCTCTGTTTATAAACCTCCAAAGGCGACTCTGCCACAAACCAAGGGTAGTTTGTGTTGTCCTACCACTTTCATTCTACGTTATCTCAAGAGTACTTTAACCACCTTTTTGCATGTGAAACCCCAGCAAACGTTTCTTTCTAATACAAAGCTACAAAGCCTGTGAAAAATGCTACAAGGTTTCATCCTCTGTGATGTTTTTTTATATGATTATGACTATTCACAGCCTGAAAAAATGGGAAAACATGGCCTTCCAGCTACTGGTGAGTGCAGATCCCAGTATTTTGCATCTTGGAGTATGCTGGTGAGAGCTGCTAGGAGTGTAGTTTAAGAAATCCAGAGATTGTACATTTGTGGTGTGCAGGATTGCTGCCTAAATGTGCAATTCACCGACGCATCTGATCATGTTTATTATAGCCTGCTTCCACTCACTGGGCAGGAAGGATGCAACCCAGGGGTCCAGTGTTTCTTATTCTTTACCAATTACTGTGTCCATGTCTGAGCCATAAGTCCTAAACTGTTGTGAAAAATTATCTCTATATCCAGAAAGTCTATCTCAGTCTCCTCCATTACTTATTGTGTGCATAAAGATCCCCAATTGAGCCAGCCCCTCCTTCAAACAGTAGGCCTTATTGTCTCCAGGGTTAGCAATCTATTCCCATCACTTTAAAATCCCTTTAATCCAGACGGCAGTTCAAAGGCCTAAAACCAGCAGTCCTAAACCCAATTATTTACGGGGCTAGGACTCAGCACTTGCAGCCTCATTACTACATCCACTTACCCAGATGCAAGCCTCACTTCCTTCTGGATTTTCATTTACTTCTCAGTATGCTTACGCATACTAACCTGGATGCAAGCTCTGTTGAACACAGTGGGGCGTACTTCTGAGTAAACAGATACGATACTGGGTCACACATTCCAATGAACCAACAGGGACTTACTTCTGAGTAAACATAGATAAGCCATGGGCTACAAGCCTTATATAGTTTGATACCATACTGTTTACACTGAAATATGTCCCACTGGGCTCTGTGGAGCATACTTTCAAGTAGGAAGGGCTCAAGACAATTTGCTGCCTGGGGTGGAGATGCAAATGGGGTGTCTCCTTCCTAAAGTCAAAGGCCAGCTACTTGGAGGAAGTAAAAAATCCCACAAATTCCTCTTCCTGGCAAGGAGGATACAGCAATGATCATTCACATCAGCAAAAATGTGCTCCTTTTTTCTTCTGACTTCAGAAATCTGCCTGAAGTGGCTGCACCACTCAACTTAATAGTAAGGATCCTTTCACACACTACATATATGGTTCTAGCACTAAGCTTCCATGTTAAATGCCATGGTTCTATCCTGTGATTTATGGTTTGGTCAGAGGCAGGAGAGGAGTGCTCCAGCTGAAAAATCTTCCTTATCTGTTAATCCGTAGATTTGGTAGAATGGAGCCAATGGCAAAGTATCTCTGTTCGCTCCCCTCATCACAACACCCCTTTTACATGCAAATAAGCAAAGGAAGAAACTAGTTTTATCCAGTGGTAGGAGAACAAAGGGTGATCTTAAGATGCTTTTTATGGTAATGGGTCATCTGCTCCACAAAACACACTGATTTATATGTTGTGCAATCTTTTGGGGAAGTCCCCCCCCCCCACATAACAAACTGAAATGAATGGGAATCTGCTAAAGAACACCAAAGTCAGACATATCTCAGGTAGTAGATGTAGAATGTCACAACAGAGGGCCAAAGTAATGGTAGTTTAGTTTGTTGTATTTTCACTGTGTGTGTATATTTGTGTTTATGTGTGTTTGCGTATATATGTGGTTTTGTGCATGCATTGTAATGTTTTTTTATTTATTTCTGGGCTTTTTAAGTCTCTTCCGCTGGGTTTTTTTTAGTGTTGGGTTGTTGTAGGTTTTTCCGGGCTATAGGAACATGTTCCAGAGGCATTTTCTCCTGACGTTTCGCCTGCATCTATGGCAAGCATCCTCAGAGGTAGTGAGGATGCTTGCCATAGATGCAGGCGAAATGTCAGGAGAAAATGCCTCTAGAACATGGCCATATAGCCCGGAAAGACCTATTACAACCCAGTGATTCTGGCCATGAAACCTTCGACAATACATTTTTCAGTGTTTTTATGAGTGAAGGTAACTCCTTGGCCTGATACGTATATTGTGTCCAAATTTGGTGTCAATTTGTCCAGTGGTTTTTGAGGTATGTTAATCCCACAAACAAACATTACATTTTTATTTATATAGATTAATATATTCAAAAACCCGCGAAACAGCGAGTCCGTTAAAAGCGAATCGCAAAGTAGCAAGGGAACTGTATTCTGGTTCAAAGCAGATAATGTGGGGTTTTATTCAGATGTGTGGAAGGGGGCTGGGGGCCCTTCCACATTGCCCTATATCTCAGACTATCAAGCCAGAAACTCCTAGAATATCTGGTTTGAACTGGGTTATCTGAGTTCACACTCAGATAATGTGGGATTTTCTGCCTTGATATTCTGGGATATAGGGCTGTGTGGAAGGGCCCTCAGATCACCCAGTTCAAAGTGGACATTGTGGATTATTTGCCTTGATATTCCGGGTTATATGACTGGTGGAAGGGCAGAAAATCCCATATTATCTGAGCGTGGACTCAGATTGCCCAGTTCAAACCAGATAGTGTGGGATTTCCTGCCTTGATATTCTGGAATATAGGGCTGTGTGGAAGGGCCTTCAGATCACTCAGTTCAAAGCGGACATTGTGGATTATTTGACTTGATATTCTGGGTTATATGGCTGGTGGAAGGGCAGAAAATCCCACATTATCTGAGTGTGTACCCAGATCACCCAGTTCAAACCAGATAGTGTGTGATTTTCTGCCTCCATATTCTGGGATATAGGGCTGTGTGGAAGGGCCCTCAGATCACTCAGTTCAAAGTGGATATTGTGGAATATTTGCCTTGATATTCTGGATTATATGGCTGTGTAGAAGGGCAGAAAATCCTACATTATCTGAGTATGGACTCAGATCGCCCAGTTCAAACCAGAAAGTGTGGGATTTTCTGCCTCCATATTCTGGAATATAGGGCTGCGTGGAAGGGCCCTCAGATCACCCAGTTCAAAGCGGACATTGTGGATTATTTGTCTTGATATTCTGGGTTATATGGCTGTGTGGAAGGCCCCCTTAATCCCCCTTTCCCAGACAGAAACTCCGAAAAGGAGTGGCTGCCCAAACAAAGCTTCTGGAGACCCGGAGGCGGTGGAGAGGACAGTCTTTCTTTCCTTGCAGATGAATGGCAAGTGGAGGAAGAAGGGAGGAAGGAAGGAAGAGGCAGGAGGCGACTCAGGTTACAATTCCTGGGTGGCTTAAGGGAGCAGGTCTCCTGCAAGGCGAGGGAGGCGGGCCTGGGCCAGCGAGCAAGGAGGCCCCAGAGCGGGAAGGCAGTTCTCTCAGGCAGAAGGGAAGGAAGCCAGGCAGAAGGGAAGGCGGCCGGCTTGGCAACTTGGGCAGCCTTTGGGGAGGGTGGCGGAGTGTGGCGGGAGTCTTTGGGTCCTTCCTCCTTTGGTCTTTGTTGAAAGGAGACCCAACAGCAAGGGAAGGAGGGGAAGGGGAAAGGAGAGAGAGGCCCGAGCCAGCTGCCCAGCAATGACAAGGAACTTCGGCTCCAGAAACCTCACCCTTGGGAGGGAAGAAGCCCGCCGCTAGTCCCTTTCTCTCGGACTCTCCTCTCTGCCTTCAGGTAAGACCTCTCGCTTTGGCGAGGCGGGAAAAGGGCAAACAATGGAAGCAGGGGCTTGTTCCTCAAGCCAAGGCGTTCCCAATCTCTCGTTTTCTCAGGGCAGAGGGAGTAACTTGGGAAGGTGGCGGGAGGAAGAAAGGAAGGAAGAGAAAGAGCCAGGACGGATGCTCTTGCGACTAGGTAGAAGGAGGAAGGAGTTCAGTGTCAGTCTAAATGTTGGGATATAGAGTGGAGAAGGAGCCCAAACTTTAAACTCAGGACTTTAAAGGATATAGGGTTTGGCCCTAAAGTTGGGTGGTAAGTTGGAGAATCTCCACGTTTGTTTACAAAAACAACCATTCTATGTTTCTAGTCCTCATGGGGTGTAATTTTACTGCTGAATGGCACTCATGGGCAGAGAAAGTTATACCTTGTTGAACTAGAACTTCCTTAATTCTGTAGCACAGTTCAAAGTGGTGCCAAACTCCATTCATACCACTGTGTAGATGCGCCCATGGTTGGGAAGGAGCAGGGCTTTATTGGGCCTCAGGCCCCTTCCACAAAAGCTGAATAAAATCCCACATTATCTGCTTTGAACAGTGTGGACTCATAACCCAGTTCAAAGATAATGTGGGATTTCCTGCCTTGATAATCTGGGTTATATGGCTGTGTGGAAGGGCCCTGAAGCCCCTTCTACACTGGCATAAAACCCAGAATATCAAATCAGATAATCCACATTTTGAACTGGATTATATGGCAGTGTGGACTCAGGGCTCTTCCACACAGCCATGTAACACATAATATCAAATCAGATAATCCACATCAGATTATATGGCAGTGTGGACTCAGGGCCCTTCCACACAGCCATATAATCCAGTATTTAAAATCAGATAATCCACATTATCTGCTTTGAACTGGATTATATGGCAATGTGGACTCGGGGCCCTTCCACACAGCCATGTAACACAGAATATCAAATCAGATAATCCACACCAGATTATATAGCAGTGTGGACTCAGGGCCCTTCCACACAGCCATATAACACAGTATTTCAAATTAGATAATCCACATTATCTGATTTGAACTGGATTATATGGCAATGTGGACTCAGGGCCCACACAGCCATATAACCCAGAATATCAAATCGGATAATCAACTTTATCAGCTTTGAACTGGATTATATGGCAATGTGGACTCAGGGCCCTTCCACGCAGCCATATAACTCATCATATCATGGCAGAAAATCCAGATTATCTGCTTTGAACTTGATTATCTGAGTCTACACTGCCATATAATCCAGTTCAAACCAGATAATCTGGATTTTATACAGCTGTGTGGAAGAGGTCTGGGAGTCCTGGTTTCAATCAGCCCAATCATCACTTTCAGCCAGCAGAGCCCTCAACTAGTTAATCCAGGTTCTCAGCACTTTCATGGTCTTCATAATTGAAACAGCAGCAACTTTCTTTTCTTTCTGCAAGTGGACTGTTGCACATTGAAAAACAGAAATGGGATGTTTTGGCAGAGAGAACTGAAGGATGGCAATGATGTTGTGATGGACGGATAGGTGTCAGTTCTGTACAGCCTGCGTCTTCCTGTTTGTTTGTTTAGTTACAATGTTGGAAAATACCTGAAGGGCATAAGTTTGTCTACTCTGTAGCATAAAAATGGAATCATGAGTCTACTCTTAGTTCTAGGCCAGTCCAAGGCACCATCTACACTGCCATATACAATCCAGATTATCTGCTTTCGACTGAATTATATTAGTCTAAGTGTCCGACTAATTATATTAGTCTAAGTGGAGATGAGGGGTGGTGCTCATCTCCAATTCTAAGCTGAAGAACTGGCGTTGTCCGTAGACGCCTCCAAGGTCACGTGGCCAGCATGACTGCATGGAGCACCCTAACCTTCCTGCCAAAGTGGTACCTATTGATCTTCTCAATGCGTGTTTGAAACTGCTAGGTTGGCAGAAGCTGGGTCTAAACAGTGGGAGCTTACCTGCTCCCCGGATTTGAACTGCTGATCTCTCAGTCAGCAAGTTTAGCAGCTCGGTGCTTTAACTGCCATATATTTCAGTTCAAAGCAGGCAATTCTAAATTTTATATGACAGTGTAGAGACCTAAGAGACTTTGCTGTCTGAGGCCAAGGAACTGTTTGCCTTCTCCTACCTATGGTTGAAATCAAATTGCTCTCTTCTCTTCCCTAAAAAGATAACTAAGGCCCCTTGTACATTGCTATATAATCCATATTAAGCAGATAATCCACATTATATGCTTTGAACTGGATTATATAAATCTACACTGCCATATTATCCAGTTCAAAGCAGATAATGTGGGTTTCATGTCGCAGTGTAGAAGGGGTCTAAGAGGAGGACTAGTTGCTGCCTTTTTATGGCACCCAGACTTTCCTTACCATTTCACTCATGGCCCTTCCACACCGTCCTATATCCCAGAATATCAAGGCAGCTAATCCACAATATCTGCTTTGAACTGGATTATCTGAATCTACACTGCCATATAATCCAGTTCAAAGTGGATTTTATACAGCTGTGTGGAAGGGACCTTGGTTTAATGGTGGAAAGTCAGTCCTGTCTCAGGCCCCTTCTCTCAAGATATATGGTGTGAACTCATCCTGTGTTACCCTTTCGCACAGCTGAATTGGTTCCCTGTAGGAAGTCTGTGGGTTGATAAACAGTGCAGGAAACTTGAGCAACCAATAACTGCTGAAGGCAGTACAAATACTGTCCTCCAATCTCAAGGGGTTGGATGTTGGGTGGCTCTCCAAAACTATGTCCATCCTGCCCTGAAGACAGATGAGCAGGGCTTGATATGGGCTGGAATCCTCCTTAGCAGGAAGGAAAAGGCCTTGGGCACAGGGGCCATGAAAGAAGTGACGAATGCCAGAAAGACTATCAATACTGGAGACGTATAGCAATTTAACACCACCATATCTTCCACAGCCCAATGCTATGGAATCTTGGGAGTTGTAGTCTGGTGAGGCACCTTTGGCAGGGAAGGCTAAAGGCCTGGTGAAACTACAAGTCCCATGATTTCTTAGTGAATGGAACCAGCTTTGAATTTTCCACACCAGGCATCAAAATATCCTGAGCATCTCTGCAGGTTATTTCAGGGAGCATAGGCCATGGGCTCCTGAAAGCTGGTTTCCAGATGAGTTCACCTACAGCTCCCATCACTTATTCCCAGGTTCTTGGAAACTGTCACATTCTCAAATGTGGCTCAAAACACCACCAAACCTAGGGCCCTTCCATGCAGCCATAGCAAAGCAGATAATCCACAATAACTGCTTTGGACTAGGTTATCTGGGGGCCCTTCCACACAGCCCTATATCCCAGAATATCAAAGCAGAAAATCCCACAACATAATAATAATAACAACAACCTCCTTATTTTTTATATCCCACGTCCATCTCTCTGAAAGGACCCAAGGCGGCTTACAAAGGGACATGTACAACAAGTGCAAGTTAAAACAAGCACAGAAAATACAATCAACAACCAAAAAAAATCAATAAAAATCAATATCTGCTTTGAAGTGAGTTATTTGAATGGGATTTTCTGCCTTGATATTCTGGGATATAGGGCTGTGTGGAAGCGCCCTGAGTCCACACTGCGATATAACCCAGTTCAAAGCAATAAATGTGGGGTTTTACACAGCTGTGTGGAAGGGGTCTTAGTAGCAGGCATCTTTCCAAAGCCCTCCTGGCACCTCCTGGCTTTCATTAAAGGATGATTTCATCCACACACCACAATTGATAGTAATTAACAGACTTACCAGAAGTGATCCAACGGGCACTGACTTTTTGCCGAGTTATGACAATGTCTGCTGGGGCAATCTTGCAAGTGATAAGAGGCTTAAGAAGAGCAGACTCTCAGAAGCTTCATTCTGATTAAAAAACAAAGGTTGTATTTGACAGCATGAAATATGTAAGGGTTTCTTAAATATTCTGAAGAGCATCGGCCTCACTGGAAGACTGACTATGGCCCCTTCCACACAGCTGAATGAAATCCCACATTATCTGCTTTGAACTGGGATATTTGGCAGTGTGGACGCAGATTACCCAGTTCAAAGAAGATATTGTGGGTTATTCTGCCTTAATATTATGGTATATAGGGCTGTATGGAAGGGTCCTATGTCTCCCAGTTCCCCAGAATTTGATTAAGAATGATACAAGGAACTAGGAAGTGGATGCTTATAACCCCTTCTATACTGCCATATAATCCAGATTGCTTTGAACTGGATTCTATGGGTCTATACTGCCATATAATCCAGTTCAAAGCAGATATGGTAATTTGGATTTTATATGGCAGTGTAGAAGGGGTCTTTATGTGTTACCTCTTTCAGTCTGTACCCAAACCTTGCAAGGAGAGTCTAAAATCTTCTGTCTTACATACACTAATTTGCAGTATAATACCAGACCTACCATTTTTTTGTTCCCTTCAAAGATTGGGGAGGGAGATATACAGGTTTTGATGATAAACATCCTAATTTGGTATTTCCCCATACCTTGGACTTTGTAACAGAAAGCATGACTTTTGTGTCAGAGGTGAAATAAATATTCACTAATACAGCTAGTCCACATGTATTAATTCTGTACCCACAGATTCAACTATTCACAATTTGAAAATATTTTTTAAAATCCAAAAAAGGAAACCTTGATTTTGTATTTTATATAGAAGACACCATTTATTTCACACCATTGTATATAATGGGATTTGAACATCCACGGATTTTGATATCCAGAGGGGTTTTAGGAACCAAACCTCAGTGGATACCAAAGCTCCACTGCATTTCAAATTTGAAGTCAGCTGATCATGAATGTAATTTCTTCCTCAGCCTCTAAGATTGGAATGGTTTACCCCATTTATTGAGGTGTTTATATGGGAAGACGATGAAGCTTCATATCCGACATCTGCTAGAATCTAGATGTGTCAAATATTATTGTAGCTCAACGATCAAATACGGGGAAATTATAATTGCCATTCCATGCCAGCTATCAAATACTATTAA